CAGCGGGAGCACGATTCGGAACGAGCGGGGCCCGAAAATGAGGCTGGCGCCTCAGCGAGAGCAGCATTTTGAAAAAAATGCAAGCGAAAACCCAACTCCAGGAAATCCTGCGTGTAAAAACAATACGCGGGGGGGGGGGGGGGCGAACACTCCCAACCCGTCATCAGGGGAAGGAGGATAATAGTATTCATATTGAGTCATTGCAAACGGAGGAGGGCGAGGATAAGACAGCGCTAGCAACGACGCGCGGTGCACAATCATTGCGCAACCAATTACAACGGAACGAGGGCCGTAACGAGGGAGCCCCCTTGGACCCCCGCTCCCGCGCGAGGAGGGAAGAGGGGGGAGGGAGGATGGCGCAAGGCGGAAGGCGGAGGGAAACGGGAGGAAGGGGAGGAGGAGGAGGAAGAAAAGGGTAAACCTCTGCATTGGCGCCGCCGCGTCTGAAGCACAGGCGGGCACAACAGCAGAGGGGGGCCAATTAGACCTCCCTCGAGGCTCCGAGCGCACGCCAGCCCACAAGAGGGATCTCGGCCAGGGTGCGGGGCACAAAACTGTTATGAAGTTGGAAATGTGAAATATGAGGCGGCCGCCAGGCACTAAGGGGTTTCGTGCACGACAGGCCCTAAGTTTCTGGGCTCGACAAGGAGCCGCAGCCAGTGAACTTCGGGATCCGTTGCCCGCAAAGGCCTGGGCACCGAAAAACCACGACATCCATCCCGCCCTTCGTCGGCAGGGTGGCGGCCAGACAAGAACAGTTTCCGATTGCGGGCAGCCCTATCAGAAATGCGATTCTCGTCCGCGTCACAATGTATAAGAAGGTGGCCCGCAGTCCCCGTGGAATAATATCCGCAAAACACGCATAGGACGCAAGACTCTGGGGCAACCCACAAACGGTGGCCACGGGCGGCCACGGCGGGCACGATGCCCGTCTTTGGGGCGAAGGCGGCAGGGATGGTGTAGTCAGCCTCCTTGGGCCGATCGTGTCTGCCGGTTCCAATGCGCTGCGTCTTGCGGTCGGGGAGAAAGGCGGGCCCCATCGCGCGGGCGGATCGCCGAGGGGCCAACCTCGCCTCGACGGGGCGGGGCGCCCCCCCTGGAGCTGGCTCGCTGGGCGGCAGCAGCAAGCTCGAAACTGTCGGCCCTAGAAGTGGCAACAATCGGAGAGAAAGTGACGCGCTGCCGCTGGGGCGGTGGCTCCACTGAGGAGCGGCAAGCTGCCCGCCTCCTCCCCTCCGCGCCCCTGCCCCTGGGCCCCGAGGGGCCAGGTCCGAGCAGGCAAGAAGGTTCGTGGGGGGCCGAACGTGGCCTACAGCCTCGATGGACGAGGCTGCGGGCGGCCCCCCCCCCCCCCCCTACACTGCCTTGGCCTCAGGGGGGCCCATGCACGAGCCCAACCGCAGGAAGCCTAGACGAAGGGGGGGGTCGGACTCTGCTGACACCGCCTGGTATAATCTCGCATCGCACATAGTGGCCATTAGCTTGCGCCTGGGTTGTTCAGTCCTCACTCCCTTCTTACAGTAGGTGCAGCGAACAAGCCCGCTGCCCTCAGGGAGGTGGCGGTGCAAGTGGGGAGGAGGAGGAGCGGCCACTTGACTGGCTCGCCGTCGACGTGAAACCCGCTTGGCACGAGCACGCGTCTCGGTCCCCCCCCCAAAAGAAAACTGGCACGATGCAAACGCGCTGTTGCAATCCAATGCAACGCACGGCGCGTGGAACGAAGAGCCAGGCTCATCGCTCGAATGTGAAGACGGGAGGGGGCATGCAAATCTCTACCAAATCTAGCAGCGAGGTCGGCCCGTCGATTGGCCCTTGCCCTGATCGAGTCGCCCCTCTGGTGGCCCCGAACATGTGAAACCTGAATGGCCTCTCCAAGGCTGCCCTGATCATCGATTTTTCTCCAGATTCTATCCCATGGATCGGCATTGGGCCGTCTAGGGCCCGCGGTATACCTGGGGCCCCAGACCAAACCTTCGACGAGCCCCATGTAATCCGCATGCACATGCACGGGGGCGATGCACGCGTCGGGGACATTCAGGAACGCGTAAAGTTCAGCCCGCGGTGAGCTCGAAGGGGACCTGCGAGGGCGCCGAACGCCATGGGCTCAATCGAGGACGCGTACTTGACGAACCCCCACCCCGCACGCGACGCCCCGGGCCAGAACCGCGCCTTCCTGCAGGCGCCGTCTGTGTACACGTCGCCCGTGACGTTTTCCAAGTCTCCGTAGCGAACGCGCCAGCGATGACTGTCGTCTGGAGGCTGCAGCACAGGGAAGCACAAGCGAGACGGCAGCCCACGAATCCAAAACCACGAGCCGTGGGTCCTCGCAGGAAAACCTCGCAAGTCAGCATCGCCTAAAGCGGCCTGCCGCTGCTGTTCACGACCCGAACATTCCCATATGATGTGATATGGTGAGCAATACTCATGATCACAGCATGGGCACTTGGGGTTCTCCGCGTACCCGCGCTTGTAGAGCCGGCTGGGGGCCCAGAATCCTCCGCTCACAATCGTTCTCAGCATGGCACTTTCGTTGTAGGTGGGGTCCAAGTCTGGGCCTCTGGAGCAACCTCGTCGCCCTCAGGCCCACTGTAGTCGCTGGCGCCACCGGGGACCTCAGGGGCTTGGTGGGGTAGCTTCAGAACGGGCTCAATCCAGTAGCCGATGGGTTCCTTGGGATCCATCCCGTCGTCGGCGGGGCTGGCGCGCGTGGCCCGCTGGGCCCGCAACTTACGAACAGCGGCTGCTCTCGCCAATTCCCGCGCAACGGCGCATCCACGCGGAAGTCGAGCATGTCACCTGAATCCGTGACCACGACAAAGGCAGAGACCGACCTCCATCCCATTGCACGAAGAGATAGCAGCATCGCCCCCGTAGTACCTGCGACTTGCTTCCACGGCTTCTTGGAGCGAAGTGCTCGGGAAATCTGCCTCTTCCACGCCTTCTGCAACGCGTCGTGGGAGATGCGCGGGCCCCGGGCCAGAGGGGCCCACTGATAGACGGGTTGGGCCCAACAATGGGCCGGCGGGTCATCCCCCGTGGAGGCGCCTGGAACACACGCCGGCAACCAGGCCGAGGTAGTGGCCCCTGGAGTATACCACGTGCCTCTCATGACGATTAGCAGATGCTGGACAAGTGCGGGTGGGGCCCCGTGCGCTCCTACCCCGTACTGCATAGCGGACGGTAGAACCTGTCTAGAAAATCGGGGGACCAATAATCTGGGCATCCGAATTCGTGTCTTGGCGACGCGAGAACGCAACCTGGTGAATTTCAGACGACGCCCAGCAGCGACTTCAATCCCCAAGACTTCCAGGGGCGAAGAGTATATACCAAAGGTGTCGGAGACGACAAACGACTTTCTTCCCTAGGTGCAACGACGTCGAGGTGATCGTCATCCTGTGCTTGGCTGGGGCGAGGCCCATGGTCTCCAGAGTCGACGCGGAAGACGACAGAACGGTGACGGCCGACTCGATTATCTTAAGCTGGGAGCCAATGAGAGCAATCGCAAGGTCGTCGACGTACAGAATTCGGCCGCGAGGATGCGATCTGCGCTGGCACACATTACATCGAAAGGCCCCAGCATCACACAAATCAAACAGAACATGGCCATAGGACAGCCAGGTAGTACACCTCTGGTCGCCCAGATCTGCTCAGATAATGACGCACCCACAGAAATCCTGCGCGGCGATCTGTACATCTGCGGCGCTAGAACAAGTAGCCGAGCAGGGAAATGATGCCTTGCCACGGCCGCTGCCAGCAACCGCCAAGGGATCCGATCGAATCACTTTTTCGATATCAACAATGGCTTGGGTGGTGACGTCCCCCTCCGCGCCTACTTCCGCTGCTTCCGCTTGGACCAACAGTCGGGCGGCCGCGTCGGTCGTCGATTTTTGCGCCCCGAGAGCGATGCGCGGTCTCCCAAGGCGCCCTATCCAGCCACGGACCCAATCCAATCGCGCCTTGCCCCAAAGACGATGGACCGACTGAAGCAATGCAATCGGGCGGTTTTCCCCAGACGGCTTGGCGAGTAAGATGACGCGCGCGCGCCTCAACAAAGTAAGCCGTGCACCCCGAGATTCACATAAGTACAGCAAGTGCCCAAGGAGGGAAAGTGCACCGTTGCTGGCGAGGGCCCAGTGGCGCGGGCGGAACCTGTCAGCCCTAACCGCCGTGCTGGATGGAAATTTAATGGCAGCATCACATAAATCCTTGATCTGCAATGGGGGGTGCCTCGGGCCTTGCTGGAGCAGGTCGGCCAGTTCACCCACGTCAGCTTCATGTCCCTGGAGCGGCCCAACATCGACGTCCGAAGGGGCCTCATCGAGGCCTTCTCAAGTGCGACCCCGGGCTTCTCGCTGAGAGGCCACAATCTCTTGGAAAGCTGGATGTACCATTTGGGCCCACCACTGTTGGCAGCTGCCGGCCCTTGGGCTTGGCCCATCTACGCGCGACGCCGGGCTTAGTGACTAACGAAGTGCGCGGCCACTTGCGAAAAGAGCGAGCTCGAGCGCCTGCCAATCGGCATTCTTGATGCCGAGCAGCCTTGCCGAGGAAGTCACCAAGGGGCTGCAGCACTAGCGGGGGGGAAGTGGCGGGCTGTGCAGTGATTCATGTGCGCACGTGAACTCTGATGCTGACCAAAGGGGCGTCAATATGGGCCCGCAGGCGACCACTCTGATCCAGACCACCCATAAAGTCAGACAAGTGACCCCAGGTGCGTGCACACGCTTGCTTGTTGTGCTCCAAATACAAGACACGAGGATCATGCACGTGCGATTGCAGAGCGCGCAACGCCCGTGTCTGCAGTGTCCCCGCAGGCTGCTGCCGAGCCGAGGCGCCTCCTTAAGTGGTATATATATAATTATGTATGTATGTATGTATGCATGTATGTATGTATGTATATATATATATATATATATATATATATATACGGGGCCGGTGGCCCAACCGCTGTAGTCGGCTGCCTGCTTGGCGCCGAGGTCAAACATCGGAATCGATTCATCCTCAACGCCGTGGCACAGGCTGGCGGCCAGGTGCTGGAGGCGCTCATGATGGTGCTGCGCTTGCCCGAAGCCCTGCTCAGAATCGTCGCGCGAATCCAGTTCGCTGAGGTCACGCCTCGGGAAAGGAAGTTCGGCTCGTCGCCCTGACCATCGCCATCTAAAGGCTTCTCCTTAGGCTTGGGTGGCAGCAAGTGCGGCTTGACAAGTCGACATAGGCGCTGGCTGCGCGGCCGTGGTCCAATCTCCGTGCAGATGGGATAGCGCTGCCGAGGTGGGGGCCCGCAAACTCGCGATGGTGTCGGCATGGTGGCAGCGAGAAAGTCGGAGGCAAAGCAGTAGTCCAACGTCGAGTGGCCGGCTGTGGCGGGGCCCTTGTAGGTGCCGTCCTCGGAGGCAACTGCTGCGGCCCGCAACCTCAGCGGAAAGTCTGGAATCTGCAAAACTTCCGGCGGTGCGTCCCAGTCACCTGCTATGGCAAGCGGCGTGGCGTAGAAGCTGAGGCGCTCACCAATGGTGCGAAGGTGGTCCACGTTGAAACCGCTCAAGCGGGGCCCCTGCTGCAAGCGCGTCGAGCCAACAATGAGGCCGCCACGAATCCCAGACTGAATCAGCATGACCACACTGAGCCCTGGAATAAGCTCGTGCGCGGCAGCGAACGCCTGCAACGGCGCCGCGTTGATATGCCTCCGAACGGAAAACCCAACTCCACCAAGGGTCTTGCCGTCGTCACTGAGCTGCGCGTCACTGACGAAGGCCTGCCAGCCTCGCGCCAGGCACTCTTCCGCGAGAAGACGACGATGGCCTTGCAGGTGTAGTTCTTGACATCCTACCACCTGAGTGCGACGCATCTGGTCCAAAAAGCCCTGCATCTGCGGCCAACCTGAACTGTTGAATGAGGCCATCTTCATCGCATGCCTCCGCTTGCCCGCTCGCTGCCTGGGCGGCCGGCCGCCAGGGAGACCATGTCCAGCAGTGTTCTGGCCCGATCTGCAGATCTCTCCTCTAGCACCTGGTCGCCACTGGCGTAGGGGGATCGGAGTCCCGCTGAGATCCAGGCCCGCAATGCGCGGGAAGGGCGACGGCGACGATGGCGTTCCACCGCCAGTAGCCCCGCAGATGAGGCGCGAACTTGCATCAAGTTGGCGGCGTCCGTGTCGGCGTCATCGATGTCCATATCCTGGCCGCCCTGCTCGTCGTTCGTGGGAACATCCTCCACGTTGGGTGCAGCAGCTCCTGCGGTCGGTAGCGGTGGCCCGTCTGGCGGAATGAGATCCCTGGCGACGGCAATCATCTGGAGCGCCGTCTCGAACTGCCGCGTCGCCTCACTGACTAGGAGGTCGGCATAGGGTTGATCCGCTTGCTCGCTGGCGATGGCCAGGCGGGCATCGCGCACCAGGCGCAGGCGATTCGACAGCAGCTCGTGCCACTTGGCGCGGTCGCGGTCGCATATCTTCTGGCAACGGATGATGTGCTGGCGGACCTCCCCCCCCGGTCTCACATGACGCCTAGAGGCACGCGCGCTCAGCAAGGGCACGTAGACGAGCGGGGTCGGCAGCCCAAGCGCTGAGAGCCTCATCTTCTGATATGAGAAGCTCGGCGCAAGGAATGCACCGCCGGGCCAGTCATCATCGGCCATGAAGTCATCCCAGGCGATCTGATCTCCCACCCACTGGCGCAAGTAGGTGCTGAGGTGGCGTACCAAACTCCATTGATCATCGTCGGTCGCGTGATCGTCAGGGGGGCGCGCTGGAAGGGTTATTCCGCCTCATGCTGCCCAGTCTTGCACGCCCCGACGCAGCATCGTCACCAGACCAGGCGGCATCGACCACCCCCATCGGCAGGGGCACCTGGCCTGGTCAGCGCACGCAGCGGGCTTGGGGAGCCTCGCGGACCTCGAACGCGCGAAGCGGAGGTCGGCTCATCCGTCGACGACGCCGCGCGCACGGACGACCCTGCGGCGACATGCGAGGTGCTGGTGCTGAGAAGCATGTCCAGGACCTGTTGCTCGCATCGCCAGGGATTATCAAAACTGCCCAGCTGCGAGACGGGATCCGAAGGAGGAATGCATACGTTGTGCCCCCTTATCTTCAGCCAAAATTGTCGTCACAGTAGGTGTGTAACTGCCCGTCCCCGTGACATTGCAAACTCCAGACGGCAGCGCCCGATGGGAGACCAATACCCTGGGAGGTTGGGGGGGAGGGTGGTAGAGTCTATCCTCATTTGACAGGGAACCCATGCGGTGCAATCTATGTTATGCAAAGCTATGCGAAGCAATACAACCCAATGCAAAGAAATGCAAAGCAAAGCGATGCAGATCAACGGAAAGCAATGTGAAGCAATGCCAATCATTACAAATTCGCCGGCCCAACGGGCCAGGGCGTGCTAAGATCTCCGGTACCTGGTTAACAGTATTTCTAGTTCGCGCGCGCGGGGCGGCCCCTGGGGGTCCCCGGACGAAAAATACCCCGGCAAGGTCCCGGCAAGTCCCCGGCAAGGTCGGGCCAGAGATGCCGGAGCCCTGTTACAGGGCCCCAGGACGGGCCAAGAGGTCCCCAAGAAGCCTCCAAGACGGTCCAAGAGGGCCCCGAGACGGCCAAAGATCGCCCGAAGACGCCCAACAGGGCCCCAAGACAGCCCAAGAGGCCTCCAAGACGCCCCAAGGGCCTTCCAAGAGGCCTCCGAAGAGGGCCCCAAGAGGCCAAAATCGTTGATTTTCATTGTTTTTTTCTATGTTTTTTGCGTTCTGGCTTTTTCGGCTTCCGGACGCTCCAAGACGGCCCAAGAGGCCCCCAAGACCGCTCCAAGACGGCCCACGAGGCTCCCAAGACGGCCCCGGAACGGCCCAGGAGGGCCCCCAAGACGGCCCAAGTGCCGCCCAAGACGGACCAAGAGGCCCCAAGACGGGCCCAAGAGGGGCTCAAGAGGGGAACCGAGAACTGAAAAATCGAGCCCTCCGCCCCAGAAGGCGCCCAGGAGGCCCCAAAAAGGCCCCAAGAGGCCCCCAAGAGGCCCCCAAGACGCCCCAAGAGGCGCCCAAGAGGCCCAAAAGAGGCCCCAAGAGGCCCCAAAACGGCCCCCAAGAGGCCCCAAAACTCGGCTAGCCCACAACGGTGCGACAATATGGGCCGGCGGAATGAGCGAAGCGATTAATACATGCAGAACAATCAAAATCAATGCAAAACTATGCAAAACAAGTCAACGCAATTCGAAGCAATGACACGCAATGCAAGGCAATGCAACGCAAATAAATGGGAAGCAATGGGAACCAGTGGAATGCAATGGCAGGCAATACCAAGCAGTGCCAAGCAATACAAAGCATTGCAAAGCAATGCGCAGAAATGCAAAGCAATGCACAGCAACGCAAAGCAGTGCACAGCAGCGCAAAGCAATGCAAAGCAATGCAAAGGAAAGCATTGCAATGCAAAGCATTGCAAACAAAGCATGGCAACGCATGGGAAACCAATGCGAAACATTGCGAAACAATATCAAGCAACGGAACGTGATGCAAAGCAATGCAAAGCAATACGCAGCAATGCACATCAGCGCAACACAGTACGACGCAATGCGAAGCAATGCGGAGCAGTGCAAAGCAATTCGATACGATGCAAAGCAATGCAAAGCAATACAAAAACCACGGACAGCGGCGACGGGCGGTGACGAGCCGGCCAGATCGCCACAGGGCCCAGTGACCTTAGAACACACGTCGAAACCAATACGTGCAAGCAGTGTTTGGGGAACGGGAAAGGGATGGAGGAGGGGAGGGGGTATACAGGAGGAGGGAGGAGAAGGAGAGTGGAGGGATGAGCAAGGTAATCAGCAGGAGGAGAAGAAAAATGAGGAGGAAGGGAAAGGAGGAGAAGAAGGATGAGGACATGGCGAGGAGGAGAATAACGAGGAGGAGGAGGAGGATAATAACGAGGAGGAGGAGGAGAAGGAGAAGGAGGAGACATGTGGAGGGAGGAGGCGCCGATTTTGCCTGCTCTACCCCGCCGACGCCCGGTCGCCTTGTGAAGCATGAAAGAGATGCCGAATACCGTCTGGAAGACGTCGCTGTTCTCCATGAAGGTCCGGCACACGTAGCCCTGCGGAGGGGGAGTTCCTCCTCCCCCTCCTCCTCCTCCTCCTTCTCCTCCCCCTCCTTTTCCTATCCCGCCTGATCCCTTCCTCCTCTGCCTCCTCTTCCTCCTCCTCTTCCTCCTCCTCCTCGCGCGCTTTGTGCGCGCTTAGATTCTTGTCGCGCCCAAAACGCTCGCATCTCAACAGGGTCTCAAAGTCGACGGCTCCAGCTTTTCAGGGGCATTATCGACGAGCTTCTGGGCCACCTCGAGCCGTCGTCGGGCCGCCTTGGGGCCTCTCGGCCGCATGCTGGAGATGCAAGTATTGGGAATGTTTGCAGGCCGCTTTAGAGCCGTACTCACGGCCTCTCGAGCAAACTAATATTGGAAATCTCTGTGGGATGTTTGGGCTGCCCTCTTTGGGGGCCTCGTGGGGGCGTGCCGGGGCCGTCATGTGCCCATCTGGGGACGTCTTGGGGATTTCTTGGGGCTCTCGTGGGCCGTCGCGCGCCCTCCGGGGGCGCTCGGCGAGGGCCCGTCGAGCTTGCCGAATACTCGGCGAAAGCTCTGCCCTGGCCCTCTGCGCCGGCCGCGACGCCGCCCCTGGCCTGGTGGCTCGAGCGCCGGACGGCACTGGAACGACCTTCGGACGCAGCGGGGCCGCCGCCGCAGCGGAGCCTTGGCGCCCAGTGGCCAGGATGCACTTTCTCATCTTTTTACCATTGCACGGAGCGCCCTGTGGCAGAGAGACGTGGGGGGAGGGGGAGGAAGGGAGGGGGGATGTTGCAACTACTTAACGAATCTGGCGCGCCCAGGCGCGCCGCGAGCCGCAGACGCACCGCCTCGCGCCACGCGGTTTCCGCGCCGCCCGCCCGGGCCGGCGGCGCCAGCGGCGGAGCGGCGCGCGGCGGCAGCGCCGGAACCCAGCCGCTGCAAGGCCTGCTCGCCAGCCGCTGCCTGGTCGGCGCCCAGCAGCTGCAGCGCAGGCAGGTCGCCCAGGCGGGCCCCTGGGACGCCGCGCGGGCCCGCCACGCGCAGCTGGCGAAGAGGTCGCTGGCGGCGGCAGCCCACGCCGCCGCCGCGGGCCGCGGGGCGCTGGCGCCCAAGACGGTTTCCGACGGTGTCAGACGGGTTGGGAACCCCTTAAGACGGCCAACGAGGCTCCCAAGAAGCAAGCCCCCAAACGCCCCCAACAAGCTCCCAAGAGGCCCAGGGAGGCTCCCAAGAGGCCTCCAAAAGGCTCCCAGGAAGCTCCGCAGAGGCCTCCCAAGAGGCCTCCCAAGACGGTTCCCAAAAAGGCTCCTCCTCCTACTCCTCCTCCTTCCCCATCATCCTCATCCTCATCCTCCTCCTCCTCCTAATCATCCTCCTCCTCCCTCTCCTGATTCTCCTCCTATTGCTCCCCCACGCGTTCCCGTAAGGCTTTCCAAACCGACTCGGGGAACAACTGGCCCGATAGGTTGGCCAAGCTCTAGCCCAGCTGTCGGCCACATAGGCGATTCCAAACAGGCAAGGGGCGGCGGTGACTCGCCATAGGCGTCTTCGATAAAAAGTCCGTGATCCTTCCGCGACCCGACGCCTCGACGGGCGGCGAGAGTGACGGCGGGGGAGGAGGACCGACGCGGAGCGGGCCGCAAGCCTCCTCGCCCCTCTGGTGCAAATAGGTGGCCGGCTTCCAGACCACGGGGCGCCCGGCGCCGAAGTCGAAGCTCAGCGGCGGGAACCTCGGCGCCAGGCGGGACTTGGCAGAGGAAGGAGAAGAAGAAGAAGAAGAAGAAGAAGAAGAAGAAGAAAAAGAAGAAAAAGAAGAAGCGGCACAAACATAAAATTGTGGCGCTCCGCGCGGATTTCTTGAATCTGCGCGGGGCCTCCCTCCCGGGCGCGCGGAGCGCGCCAGGGGCGGCGCTGGAGGCGCCGCCAGGGGCCCCCGGCGCGGATCCAAGAAGTCCGCGCGGAGCGCCAAAAGTTTACGCGGTTATGGCTCAAGCAGCGGAAGCTCAGGCAGGCTGCGTGGTGCCCCAGGGGGTGCTCGCTGGCCTCGCTCAGGCCCCTTCTCGCCGTGCGGCGGGCGGTCGGACCTGCTCCGCAGCAGCGCTCTTGGGGGCAAAGCGCAGTCGAGGATCTCTCTCTCTCTCTCTCTCATTCTCTCCTCGTGGGCGGCCCTTTGCGCTGTGCGTCCCCAGACATGCGACGTCCTGATGTTTTGCAGGACGGCGTCCCTGGAAGTCCCGACCCTGTCCACAGGACCAATGTTTCGTCCTAAATCCGCCGACCCTGTCGTTGTGTGTGAGGGGCTTCTCCGTTCGACTCGTCGTCTCCGTCGTCTCCGTTCTCCCCCTCCCAGGGCTCTCCTCCTCAAGCGCGCTATCCAAAGCGAAATTAAACGACGTCGTAGTGGAGTCGAAGGGAAGCCCCTACCCTTTGATCCCCGCGGGGGGGGGAGGGGGGGGGGGGAGGGCCTGGGGCAGACGACGGGCACGCACGGGATGCACTTCCTCCTCCTCCTGGTCCTCCTCCTCCTCCTTTTCCTCCTCCTCCTCCTCCTCCCTCCTCTCCTCCTCCTCTCCTCCTCCCTCCCTCC